GTTAGGTCTGCTTTTCTGTACTTGAGACTAGATGGTGACTTAGTGGTAATTGGACTCAGGGTCATTGACTTGAGACTGGACTTTACCTTCAGGCCTAGGACTAGGAGATTCTCGACTCTTCTTTCAAACTTCAGTTGAGTCACTTGGGCTTTAAAGATCCTATGCAAACTTGACTCTTGTGAGCTTTAAGATGTGTTATAATGCTGTTATTATCCAAATAAATCAAGTGAAGGTGTCTGGCAGTGTTTCCCAAACTTTTTTTCTGGGGACCCATATTTTAAAAGTCACAAACATTCACTACTCAAGTAAATAAACAATAATCTAAGTCATAAAATGAAGGTAGCTTTGACTGTCATTGAACATTAATGAGGATATTTTATTGTTGACTGAGTGATTGTGTCTCTCTGAACAATTAGTATTACTCAAGTTTAAAACAATGAAAAACATTGAAGCAGCAATAAAAGATATCCATAAGTCACCTATTTGAACAATAAATGTAGCCCATTTCTTTTTTCTTTTCAACATTCATTTGAAACAGCAATATTGGAACAAAATAGTCAATAAAATAATTACAAAAAGATTGGAAATGATACAAAACATGTCTTAACATTTCAACATTTCTAATGAGGTGGGCCTGTTTGCATTTTTGTAGCCTGTTCCAGTCCCGGGTGTAGGAGGACACACATATCCGACATATAGCCAGAACTGTACCTACATGCAGATCGTGAAAAGGCAACCCCAAAAAAATCTATTATGACCCACCTGAGGGTCACAACACAGTCTCTGGGAAACAATGGTGTATGGAATATAAAAACACAGTTGACCACATCCTGTATTACCAAATGACATCAGAAGCATCAGAGCATTTTCAGTTTGAGAGAAGAACTCAGTCTAAACATGCAGGATTTGTATGTTAAACTTCTGTGAATGAAACAAAACAAAACTTCAGGTATGTTTTTGATGAACATTATAACATAGATTGAAAAATAGCGTAACATGGACCCTTTAATGCAAAAGCTGATATTTGATGCATAATTGGACCATTTCAGATATCTTTTTTCGTACTCATACTGGAAACTGTTGCTTTAGTCAACATTTGATTTTTGATTGTTTGAAATAGGGGTTTGTAGTTGGCTGCAGAAATAAATCTCAGAAACAGCAATAAGGTTTGGTCACATTTATTGAGTGCTTTTCTATCATCAAGTCACTCAAAGCATCAAGGAACACCACTGATACACCAGTGTGCAGGGGTGAGGTAGGTTAAGTGTCTTGCCCAAGAATGCAATGAAAGCATTCATCTATGGGTACTGGAATCACACCGCAACCTGTGGATCTGACCTCCTGAACAATCTCTCAGATTAGCTGTCACCCCAAATGTTATATCAGGGGTCTCCAACCTACAGCCAGTAATTGCTATTGTAAATGTATCATTTTGATGCCCATCTTTGTGCACTAATAAATGGATAATTGTTTATGTTTCATAGGCATCTACCGTTCCCATGTAAGGCTTGCGGTGACTCTCATTTACACTCAATTTCTTGCAACAGCTAAAATTAGTAGCTCTCTGGTATTTTTGTTTTGTAAAGGTGGCTCACTGGAGAATAAAGTTTGGAGACCCCTGTGTTATATTCTCAGATTCTCTAAGAAAGAACTTGCTGGTAAAACATAAAATATAATTCATCAAAACGCTGAAATCTGAGGAGTAATTAAGAGATTTTTTGTACTGAACAATATCTATGACTTGTTTGCTTACAATCCTCATACTAATTTCACTGTTATAGGCTGGCAATATCTCCATGACAATATCTCTACTTCAGAAAGATATTGAATGTTTTGATTGTGAAGAAAACCTGTTGCTATCAAATCAACAGTGGACTTGTCTGGTGCCACAGGCTGCAGAGGCAGATGGACGCTGGCCCTATGTGATCAAAATAATCAGCTGTAATGTTGCTGCTGGCAGCTGAATGCAGTCATTCAGCAGTTTCACTCCATTGTCGAAGCACATTGTTGGAGACAATAATGCATGGGTTTTGAATAGGTGACACAAACAACAAAGCTATTCATCCCATTAACAAAATCACATAATCACACGGAAAAAGGAGCTACTGTAATAAAAAAAAAGATAAATAAAAAAATCTCAATGGAGCCGAACAATAGAGAGAAAGGTGTCTTTTCAGCAACTGTTAACACCTGCTCATTTGAAACAGCTCAAAAGGACAATGAAAAGATGACGTGACTATTAATATGTGGGGTGGAGCACAATTGTCAAGAGTATCTCACCTGAGTACGGTTGAGTCCTGGCCCAGAAACCATTGAAACAGACAGCGCATACCTGCCCCACCTGAGGTAAATTTGCCACAACAGTTCATCTGCACCTCCAATAATGACACACTCTATTGTTCCCATGCATTGTTGGAAATCTTCTACAAGACGTTTGCATCAATGGTATAATTACACTAATTTGACTATCATTTCATTGTGGTTTAAATGAGCATTGAAGATTTCCATGACACACCTTGTTGTTACATACAACCAAATAACATCATCGCATAACATCGCATAACAAAAATAAATACATTAATGAATAAATAAGTGAATAAATAAATAAATACATAAATAAATAAATAGTGTCATTATTGCTGCATTGACAGAGAGACCAGAAAGAGCATTCCACTTGAGTGATCATTCTGTTAATGAAGCACTATGCCAGTACTAGTATCTTTTTGCTGCATTATTGTGCACATGACAAAACAGAAAAACAGAAACGCTGATCATAGGCTCATCATTTTTAAAAAGGTATATGTTCTCTTTAAGATTTACATGATACTTAAATGCAAAACTTTGACTTTTTAGAAGCTCAGTTCATTTGGAGATACTTGAAGAAGAAGACAGTTCTCGCCTCACAGCAAGAAGGTTCTGTTGTTAAGTATTTGGTTGGATTGAATTTAAAATCTGATATGATAATAATAATGAATGAGAATTATTCATATCTACATCATTTTTAAACAGTCAGCAACTTTAATAATTATTGTGACTATAATTGTTAATCACAATTAATTTGGCCACAATACTCGTGACACCAAATTTCAATATCATCCCATGCCTAGTGTCTATATACATTTGTTGTAAAACCTGTATAATGACAAATAAGCACTTGACTTTTATGATTTAATCCCATATTGACTGCGTCTTGTGCTGTGAGGAGCTGGCTCTGCTGGACAGTTACTGTGAGATATAGCTGTAAAGTCTGAGTACATTCAAGTGCCCACATGTCAGAGACAGGCCGATCCGTACACAATGTCAAAGGAATGGGAATCAAAGGGTAAAACTGGGAGAAAAGGGAGAAGTGCAGGAGAGGTTTTGTAATCTGGCTATAGTGGTGTTGTGCCGTCTCCATGGCGACAGGCACAAAGGCCCGTGGTTGGCCATTGATGGCTAATTGTATTCTTCACAGCTCTTTTGTTAATTGTTGTCTGCCCAGCTCCCACTTCCTGCTGGGCCACGGCACAAAGCCACGAACAGGAGGATTAGAAATGGCACATCAGCTCCCAAAGCAGCGCCAGGTCCTCTCTACCTCTCCCTCCTGCCCTCCTCTTTCTCTCCCTCTCTCCTCTGTCCTTTTGTCCCTCACTCCATCCTCTCCCCTGTATCCTCTTCTCTTGTCACTCCTCGCCTCTCTACCATCTCATCTCTTCATCCCTCCTCTCCCTCTCTTTCCTCTCCTCTCTTCATCCCTCTCTCCTCTCTCCTCCCTTTCTCCTCTCCTCTGTGCCCTCCGTCCCTACAGAGCCGCTCCCCCTTTTATCTGCTTACCGGGCGCTCTCCCATGACCTCCACACGTCTTTCTTTACCCAGCCTTTTCTTCATTCTTCATATGAGGTCTTCACTTGTTCTTTGGCACATTTTGGACAAAGCATGTTTTTCTCTAATGCCTCCCTCTGTGCCTACAGCCCATTGGACAGTTTTACTGAATATGTTGAACAATGACTACAACTGATGAAATAAACTTGTAAATATGAATCATTTTCAGACGTATTCACCTTTTCTCAACATTATTCTCTCACCCATCTATTCATTTAGTTCACTTAAATTCACTTTCACCTTCATGAGAAGAAGGCAGAGTACTCTAGAAGAACATGTATACACGGGTGAAGACTTTTTGAGTCAGTTGACCTGACAACAGCATCAAAACCATTATCTCCTTGAGGTTACGTTACTGGGAAAAAGTACATTTTAAAAGTGCATGATGTAACTGCTGCTTGGAAATGTTTTTGCTTTGCCGTTTTTCACTGAACTTTAATTAAACTTTTATTTGTATGTTATTGCTCAAAATAAAATGAAATCATGCACTCTTGCTTAGAGGGGCTCTCCAAAGGTCTGAACTTGACCTGGTGGTGTTACCATACACAAAGTTTCAAATCATTTTAGTTTCAATGACTTGAGGAAGTTCACCCATCCCAAAAATCACTTTAAAAGAAAGGAAACAGAGACCGTTGGCTGTTGGTCTCTCTGGTCATCAATATAGATGCCACTGACACTATCGATCTATATCTGGATTTCTGATATCTGAAGTCCATATCTGGACTTTTATGTAAAAGTGAAACATGTTGTACTTAACCATGATTAGAACATCTGTGTACTGCATTGTAATCTTTGTAGATGTTACAATAGTTCAGGGACAGAGTTGTACAAAGTACACACTTGTTGCTCTAATGAGAGATTCAAAGAAACACCGTGCATACTTAATATTACGAAAAGTTTGACCAATAAGGGAACTGTATGTCATCTGATTTAAAGAAAATAAACAATTAAAAATTGACACTTTTTATGCCAAGTTTAGTAGCTGTCCTAGTATCAAAGAGAGAAAGGCGCATACGTCTTGGCAGATGCTTTCTGCCCGTGCCTCTCTTTCCATCGGCTCAACCTGGAAAACCGTCCTCTCCCTTTAAGTGGGAGGTGAGTGCCAATGAGAGCGCTCTGGCGGTGAGTGGAGGAGAGTCGCAGAGTACAAGTCACCGGGAGTCCGAGTGAAGTGTTGGGACTGCCCTCGGAGCTCCAAAACATTTTACGCTCGGGCGACACTTTCCGTCTGTTTTCACCGCGTGGCTGCGCTCCCTGAGCCCGGGCCATCACTCCCACACTGAGAGCTCTACTTTCCTCTGAAGGACCCCGGGGCTCCAGACCACGCACGCGGCTCCTCGCCTCTGCCCCAAACCACTGCGCTTTGCATGTGGTGAGCAATTAAGCGGGAGAGGTAGGAGGAGAACGGAAGTTTTTTTTTTTTTTCCTTGATTGCAAAGTCGGGGCGCACCGGGACTGGTGAGTAACCGCTTCGTTTCAACTTGAAAACATGTGCGTTTCTCTAAGTTTTGTTCTAGTTTGATTGGAGAGAAAATTGTACAGCGTTCAACTTCTCTCAGTTAACAACTCAAGCTGCTGCCACTCAGGATAGTCAGAGAATTCTTACTAATGTCATTGCTAGTGTTAGGCTGTCCCTCTGCCCAGAAGAGTTAATTGTCTGATATCGTCTCTTTTATAAAGCCAGGCTGCTTGTCATCATTGCTTAAACATGTCCCATCTCCATGTCGCTTTGATGAACCAAACATGCGTGCGTGCGCGCAGGTGTGGGCAGGTTCACCTATAATAAGGCAAAAAGTGTCACAGGCTTCAGTGCCCTGGTGCTGAGTGCCTATAGCTGGCTGCAGATGATGCCCCGTGCACGTGAAGAACACGGTCATTTAAAGTGTCCTGGAAGCTGATTGACAATGAAGATTTGCAAAGAAAAAAGTTGACGGGAAGAGGAGCGGGCAGTTTTGCATGGGGTTTCCAGTCTGATATGACAGTGTGTATATATGCATTATTTATGTAGAATGACTGGACTGTACACTTCTAGATCCTTTAATCTGTCCCTGCAAATGATGAGTGGTTGTGAAAACTGATGTTTGACCTAATAGTGTGACTCAGTCGGTCTTTAAACCATTTTCCAAAACCTAATTTGGTCTCATTTAATATCTGGTCAGGTCAGTCCCTGTTTAAATTCTTCTTTGACTTTGGTGTCAAGTTTGTCCACTTGGAGGAACAAATAGTCTTCATTAGGTGTGATGTGGTGTTAGTTAGTTGCCATTAAAACTCTTCCCTTCCTTTTATAAAACTGCGAGTAATTTGAGTTTTGTGTGTTTTTTTGTTTGTTTTGTTTTTTTGCTTTACTATCTCCTGTATTTTATATTTAATTTTGCCATATTTTGCTTTTGGTGACCACTTGGTGACAGTGTACCAGCGTCCCATAGGGCAATCACAGTGTAGGGGGCAGAGCAGAGGTGGGCTTCTACTGCCTCTAGCTCCAGGTCTGTGTTAGCCTGTGCCCAGCGGGGGAGATAATGAACATTCAGCCTATAGCATATGCATGTGCGCTTATGTGTTTGTGTATGCGTGGCCCTACAGTGCATGGCCCTGCAGTGCATGGTGGCGTACAAAGCTGCCCGTCAGTGGGGAGTCCCTGACCTTTGTGTCCCGTCAATCTCCCTGTTCCTCCTCATTCTCATCGTCACCCCCCCCCGCAGCGACCGCCACTCTTCTCTATGTTCCATTGCTATTAATTATGACTTTGAGAATATACAGTTTTTTGTTTGTTTTTTTTGCTGAGGTGATTTTTTTCAAGACTTATGTGTCCTTAGGTTTGAGTACAGAAGTAATTTGTACAGTTTTAGCCCATTCTCCACTTATGACCTCTTGCTCTTGATCTCTGTACCTGATGAAAAAGCCTGAGCAAAAATTATTAATAAAAAGCAAAGTAAATACTATAAATTAGACAACAGCAATTTCAAATGTTCACAATCTTTTAAAGACTTCTTACAATTGCATTGTGATTTCAGTAAATAAAAACAATAAAAATAAAATAAAACAAAGAACTGGTTTTAAAGTTGATTTTGAAAGTCACCTGCTTGACTTGGTGTCTTCTTTACATTAAATTTTTGGCTTTTTGCATTTTATTTTTTTGTCATATTGTCATGCAGTTACTTTTGTGATTTTATGTGTGACATGCATATTTAACATTTCCTGTTCATCTTAAGTGCATTATGTCTGACTTACAAATGTTGCATTAAAGGATCTAAAAAGTTTATCATTTTGAATTTTGGTAACCTTATTTCAGTGCAAGAATAAAACCTATGCACTACTAGTGATACGTCAAAGGGTGCTTGAGGGATAGGAATGAGTTATGATTTAAATGCTCAGTTCCTGGAAAATTGGGTACCCCAGCTTTAAGTAAAAAAAAAGTGCCATCAACAAATTCAAAATTTAGCCCCCCCCCCCCAAAAAAAAACAACCTCTGAGAGAGGGGCAGCTTAGAATCATTTGTAGCATAGCGTCTTGCTATCTGACAAGGGATGGTGTGGTGAGAGCTTTTGCATACCCTGCCAGACCTCTGACCTCTGTCTTGTGAGACTGTAGTGCAGGTGAATGGGTTCATGGGGGTCAAAGGTGACCCGGCCTATATCAGCGTCTACATGGTTGAATCTCACATCTGATTAGCTGAGCACTGCCTTCTCCCTTCAGTCTAACCACAACTGTGTAACTAATCTGATCATTTTAAATGCAAAATTTTAGAACAGGAAGTTTTATTCTCCACCAGCTTCATTGCAGTTTTCAATGTTGCAAAGTCAAAAACTGCACTATTTTTGACTAATTTAACATATTTCAAATTGGACTGATTTACCAAACAGAGATATAAACATGTTTAGTGCTAATGCAGCCTCTGCAGTTCAGTGTTTCAATTCTGGATGTTCTGCTGTTTCACATGAGGCATGACGTGTCCATATAGTGAGAATGAGAAAATTGTGTGTGTTCTTTGCAGATTAAGGCACTGGCAATGCAGGGTCAGTTATGAGTGTAGTTTTATACACCCATATGAACTCGGTTACAAAACCTTTGAATAACATTTGACAAATACTTGATTACAGACTGTTCCTGCTCATGATTCACGCACTTACTAATATTGCGCTCTTTATATAGTTGAGCTGCCATAACCTGAGCTATGCCCTGTAAGAGTGTGTGTGTGTGTGCATGTGCGTGCTTCCTCCGTCCATCAGTCTGCTCCTGACCCCTGTATCCTCCTGCCATTGTTCTAGATCCCATAGAGTCACAGTGCGCACACAAACACGACAATGGACAATACCAGTGTGTATGTACTGTAGGTGTGTGTGAGGCCAGGCCAATCACACAGAACAATAGTGAGGAATGCTATGTGATGTGTTCAAATAAAGCTCCAGGACATTGTCTGCAGTGACCACATGGACTTAAACTCTGCACTGGTCACAGATCAGGGGTCTGCTCTACTCAAACCAAATCTACTGATGTTACTACTGTAATACAAATGGACACTAATTAATATCTTGAAATGTATTTATTATCCTGATAACAATATTCAAATTATATTAATAGCCTGTCACAATAACAAATTTTGTTGAAGTAAATTGCTGAAGTAAATCTAGATGATAAATGATAATATTTAAACTAATTCATGTCTGACACAGAAAATAAATAAATAAATTGTTCAATTTAACATATATTGAACAAAAAGTCAATTATCGTTTCAGGCGTAGATATTAAAGACATGCCAAAATCTGCTTGTAGATTTTGGGTTTTGATTCATGTGTGCAAGTTCCAGGTAAGAGCAGTGTAGCGGTGACACACAAAGTAAGTTTCTTAAAATATTTTGAGCTAATGGAACACTTGAATTGAATAAATGCATGATGGATACATTTAAGATGCCTCAAGATTCAAGGATTTGTCATTTGTCATAAGTAACAACAAATTACATTTAGAGCGTTAAACGGTAGCGTGGCTAGTGCAAAACTGTATCACTGCAATTCATGAAGTGCAAATACTAGAATGTAAACATGTACACTGTTACAGTAATTATAGCATGTAACACAACAACATGACATAAAGGTAGAGGTAGATATGGCAGTATAAGTTGCAGATTTTGTTTGTTGCATCAGTCCAGTTCAGTTATAGCGGTTAGACCTGTCTATTACAATATTGAGTCAGTATTTATTCTGTGTACATTTTCTTTGCACTACTGGGACATTTGTGGTTATTTTTTAGTTATATGATAAAACTTAAGCGGTAAAAGGTTGAATTAATAACTTCTGTGAATCGTTAGAGATGTAAAATTGCTACTAAAGCTATTTATTTATTGCAGCTCATGAACAGTATTGTAGATTTACAAGTTTTTGTGATTTAAATCTGTTTTTGGGTTATTGTGTTAGTGGCATGAGTTTCAGTATTATTGTCTTTATTTATTTCAGCTATATATTGGATTGTGTTTGTTATTGTGTCAGGCTTAATGGCTGTTGTGGGGAACGGAGGGTTATGGGGGGTGTCTGATATTCCAGGTAAAACAATGGCATGTGGATGAGGAAAGCCGGTGGTGGACCCTTCAAGAGAAAAGTTACATACTGCAACTTTTAATTATACATCATCACATACCTACCCATGTTTTAGTAACTCTGCATACTTTGGTCTTGAGCGCTCCATTTTGACATGGGGTGGTTATTACTGGGTTGGGGTGCTCCTCCATGTTTTTAAAGTACGCAGACCTTCTCTTCTCCAGACCTGTTCAAAATGTCTAGTCTGAGAGGAGCAGGAGAACCAACCAATTAGCTTCTGAAGTCGCAAAAAAGAAATGAAAAGCTTCACCATCTTTAATAATGAATACCTAAACTTTGTATTTGGACTCATTGTGCATGTTTATCATTTTTAAAGAACGATTTGGCCCTGAGCTCCTCTGCTGCTGAAGTATCTTTTGCATTACGTGTCCCACAGTTAAAGGCTTTTGTCTGTCTTAGACTTAACTCCAATAATGTTGATGTACTAATTGAATACCTGTCATGTTTTTTTTTTTTTTTATCCATTTATTTATTTATTTTATCAAGACTGAACTACTTCAAGACACTGATTCATTTATGAGAAAAAAGCAGACACTTAATGAAAGATGGCTGAGGTGACGCTTTATGTACTTATGTATGGTTAACCTTGAAAAGTGGTGGTGTTGTATGGGAAGCTCAAAGGGTCAATGTTGTTCGATTCTCAACACCTCTGCGTGGCGTTTTTTAGGGCTATTGGAAACATAGCCCACCTGTTGCTGATGTGAGGCTGCACTGTGAACAGGAAGCACAGATCTGGCTTGCGCTAAGCAAAACCTAGTCTCCTCTGTAGAGACTGGGCACTGCACAAGATTAAGCAGATGACTAAAGAGCCTCACTCCGCTACAAGACTCCGTTACATTTCAAAGTAAGTGACAAGACCTATTGGGACTC